GGTGAGTAAATTACGTTCAGATTGGGTAAGGGATTTGCTTTGACTGTAGAGTTGTTAGGGCATAAATGAAATAACAAATTATCACCATGTTCTTCACTAATCTAGAATGAGTTAATTCAGAAAGAAGCCATGTTTGGGTCAATGCTTAAATCTAGAGTAGTTCAGTACTGAACACAATGGCTTTTCAACAAAGGAATCTGAGTACTTTGGAGGAGAGCTACTTTTACTATTATTTGTAAGGATGAGTTTAAATACATTTACATTAAATTGTACTACTTATAGAAATTTTATTAGTTTCATTAAAAGAGTGTAACTACCTAAAATGTACCAATAAACTCAAGGAGGAAATAAAAGGGTAACCCTTTTTCTATTTTTCATTTAGGTATTTTAGCTATCAGAGATAACCCATTAACAAATTTATGCACATTTAATATAGTCCTTATCAAAATTTGCTACACTTCTTAGGTGGAACTGGGGATTCAGCTGAGTTACATGGGCTACATTCTCTGCCTCTCTTTCTATTATTGGTAGTTTTGAGACCAGTTCTCCCTAAACTACTAAACTGACCAGTTTGAGTTCAAATTTTTGATCCTTTTGCTTCAGCCTTCATAGTTAAGCATGGACCACCACGTGAAGCTTCTGTGATTCTTGATTAGCACACTCCCAGTACCACAAACTTCAAGAATTTTGAAAGTAGAGATTGAGAATTTTTTGCAGTTTTCATTTTTTTGATCTATGGCAGTCTTCGCTACACACAAAAAGATCTATTAAAAAACTTACGTAGGAAAGAGTTTTAGAAGGATGTGGGTAGCTTCTAGTTGGAGCCAATGCTACAGTTGAATGTAATGTGAACCACTTAAGTTTTATGAGCCTAAAACTCATCATTTATACAATTAGTAATATAATTCATTGAAGTATTGGTCTAGAAAATATAGAGAGGAAATAATTTTTTAGGTCATGCCAAAAAAATGATTTCTAATAATTAAAGCTTTCCCAATGTTGTCTCCTTTCAGAAATAGAATTCTTGAACAATAGAAAATATCAGTTATCGACTTTAAAAGTATTTGGTGGAGAAATTGAACATTGGGGAAAAACAAACAATTGAAGTCCTGGAATAATGGTAAGGTAAGCATCCTTTCCAATTTGATACTATACTTGATGATGATACCAACCTTTCCTCCATGGAATTATTGTGACACTTCAAGCGATAGGTGTAGCACGATGCGATAAAGGATATGCTAGTCCTAAATATGAGAACGTAGAAGCTGCAAAATCCATAGAAGCAAAAGGGTCTCTCTGATCTTTCTCTTCTCTTTTGAAGACCCTCATGTGGCAGGTAATCTGTTTTATACTCAGAAAGAAGGAAAGTAGCACAGATAGGCCACCAAAAATCTGAATATACAACCCAGTTCAATCTACCTTTATTCATCCCGCTAGTTGGTAAGCTCCCTTTTGTCAAATCATAATTGTGATAACCATCCTTTGTTCACCAAATTTAAGAATCAAAACATAATGTTTTCAGGATATATATTTATTCTATGAAGCTGCTGAATTTCCTAAGTCATTAGTTAAATAAAATTGTTCTGCTTTTTTTTTTTTTTTTTTTTTGTATTTTT